CTTGCATGTCTTACCATTTGTGGAACTGTCTACTTTTACTTTATTACTTACTCGAACTTTCCTACTACAAGGAACTGTCCTTGGCATAGCGTTAGGGTACATTGTTTACCATTTTTATTTTAATGTTCAATTTTTTTCACTCATCATGAGATTATTTCTGAACTAATCTAGTCAATTGGAATGTTTGAGTCTCTTTAATATGCAATGAATTTGAATCGTGAACTGTTCTTATGCTATACTTATGTTCGTTTTCACTTTTGTCTATGTTTACCGGTTTGACCCGCTTAGAATTTAAATAAGCTTTAAAAGGAACTTAGTGTACACCCATAATAGTTATCAGATTTATCTTTAATAACAAACAAAATATGTAAATGTTCTTATATTCAACATTCACATTAAAAATTTCTAGTAGTTGTCAGTCCATTTCAAACTTTCAATCAACTTTTGTTCAAACAATAAATTTTATGGGTTCTTTATTGTATATTCCTTTATATTTTTCAGAAAAAGTATTTCTTGCAATTTGAAAAGCATTTTTCAAATTATCATTTTGTTATGATATTTAAGGCTGAAGGGGTATATTGCATTGATGTTATCATCAATATGATCTAGATTACATAGTCTAAAAACTCAATCATAGTGGGATGAGTAGAAATGTGCATGATCCAAAGTTTGTTGATTTTCCAAATACATAAAACTTGAAATTATGTTCACATTTATAAACCAAAATTATATATTTTGTTAAATTCCCTTTATGAACTTAATAGTTAGAGTATTTATGTCTAATAAGAATTTCATATCTTTAAACAACACGCAGAAAACATAATTTATGTATTATTAGAGGGTACAATGCTTCTAAATAGTTTTGGTTCATAGTTTGCATGCAGAAGTTAATTATGACTGAAGAAAAATAGGTGCCCAATGTCATTAATAATGTTTGACAAAACTATTAATTCTAAACAAAAATGTATTAGTTAATACACTATTCAGTTCTATATTGAAGACATTGAAAGTGGCAAATCCAGTTTCAATACAGTATTTAATCAGATAAAAACCTTTGTAAATCATTTGTAAAACTGGAAAGTTTATAAAATTATATACAGCCAACAATGGGGGTCCAGAAACTGGAAACTTGCTCCTCACAGACACAAGAAGGCAGGCACTAGTGTTGAAATCATCATTATTATATTCATTTGATGGCAATATTCAGCTCAGGTTTTCATGATACCTAACGTCATGTGTCGGGTGAAAAACAAGGACAGGCTTACCTTATAATACCAAAACATCTGGAAACAATCACAAAAATCAAATCAAGATTTATATAAATATTTAAAAACAATTGCATGGCTCATGGAACAATAAATGTTGTCTGTGGTTGTAATATGTGTTCTTTATGATCTGCAGCATCTTAGGTGGATTTAAAATATGTATTAATAAGAAGATAAAAATAAGAATTGTGTTTAGCATTATGGAAACACTTGCAATTATTTGGTTTATTCTACCATCATAAAATCCTATTCGTAAATTCATTAATATGCTAGAATTTTGGTATTGACAAAAACGTTAAAAGTTCTTAAAGGGTAACATTTTACAACTGTGCAGGCCTGTGTTAAATACTTATGTAGGCTGCGTTTTAATGCCTCACTAATTTCCTACAAAATTTTTATTCATGTGTATTAACGTCATAATACTTGTACACATGTTTCTCATCAATATTTAAGTACTCAGGGAAAATTTATTCATCTTTTAAACCTAAGAGAGTTATGCAGGAGTGTGTGTACCCAGCATACTCGGTATGAGGTGCTACGATTGTGGCATCAACATGTTACACTCATCATGAGGCTATTGTGGCAGCAACATGTTGTGTTACACTCATCATGAGGCTATTGTGGCAGCAACATGTTGTGTTACACTCATCATGAGGCTATTGTGGCAGCAACATGTGTTACACTCATCATAAGGCTATTGTGGCAGCAACATGTTGTGTTACACTCATCATGAGGCTATTATAGCAGCAACATGTTGTGTTACACTCATCATGAGGCGATTGTGGCAGCAACATGTTGTGTTACACTCATCATGAGGCGATTGTGACAGCAACATGGGATGTGATGCATTATGATGTTGGATGATATAAAGTTATTCGATACGATGTAATACACACATGATATAATGCTACATAATAAATCACAGGATATGAACAAACACTAGATTTGTGGAACTGTTTGTGTGCAACGAACATGCGTGATAAGATTATATTTAACGAATGTAACTATCCTGCAGTAATATTTATCCTTATGCCTCTGGTATCAACAAACATGGTTTGTAAAATTATATTCTATAATATGCTGGTACTGAATTTTATCCCCATGAATATCTATGGAATGATTACTCAAAAACATGATAATTACTAAACCATGATTTTCTTTGCAATCAAGAAGTTTGATGTTAAATTTAACTTAAATTTAAATTTAGTATAGTATAAACTATACTCCTATACAAGATGGTCACCATACCAAGATTTTATTTGTATATAAAAGGATTAATATAATGATACTCCAGAACAAAGTTGTCACCATACCAAAATTTTCTTTGTAATTAAGAAATTTTGGAGTTAAATTTAATGTTTCAAAACAAGATGGTGCAGCTATCATATGGAACATGAATCTGTATTTCATACCATAGTGAGAGTACCACAGAGAAATTATGTATTAACACCATTGTACTTATTTACTTTTAGCCTTGTTATTGTGGCTAATTCTACGTATATTTGTATTGTGTGTATCTGACATTTTGCAATATATTAGTTCTTCATAAGTCATTTATTTTGTCAATAAATATTTGTGATTCATACGGGATTTGTTGCTCCTAGCTTCTAAACACTTACAAACTTACAAGTATAACTTAGAAAATTATATATATATGCAATATATGTAATAATAATATAAATATCTAATAATTATTACTCTTCATTCTGCTGGATCATGAAAGAATCCGGCCTCGGGTGAAAGGGGGCTGTGACGATCTCTGTCTGGAACCCGTAGGTGCGGGGCTTGGTCGTCCACCGCCCGGGTTCATGCGGCCCAGGCTCGGTCGTCCACCGCCCGGGGTTCATGCGGCCCAGGCTCGGTCGTCCACCGCCCGGGGTTCATGCGGCCCAGGCTCGGTCGTCCACCGCCCGGGGTTCATGCGGCCCAGGCTCGGTCGTCCACCGCCCGGGGTTCATGCGGCCCAGGCTCGGTCGTCCACCGCCCGGGGTTCATGCGGCCCAGGCTCGGTCGTCCACCGCCCGGGGTTCATGCAGCCCAGGCTCGGCTTCAGGAGCCTGGGTTCGTTCTTTCCTTTGCTGGGGTGGTTCTTCTCCGGGGTCCCAACCACAGCAGTCTCTGTGTTTGGAGTCCCTGTGCCTTCTTCACCAACCTTGAGGTAATCTCCGGAGCTGGAGCTCCTAGGGCAGTTCGTCGTTGTCTTCAGCCTCGTTCTGATAGTTCCTGGGACGGCGCTGGAACCAATCGTATTGGCGTTTGCCTTTCCATTGGAGACTTTCGGTGCCGTGAAGAGGGGGGACCTACTGCTTGGGTAACAGCTTCTTCCCCATATCAACCTACCCTGGCTTTGCGCCCTGTAGAGGCCACTACAGACTAATAACCAGAGCGCAACTCCATAGTCTCCAAAGACTGATGGATGCATACCACTACTTTATATATATATATATATATATTATATATATATATATATATATATATATATATATATATATATATATATATATATATATATATATATATATATATATATATATATATATATATATATATATATATATATATATATATATATATATATATATATATATATATTATATATATATATATATATATATATATATATATATATATATATATATATATATATATATATATATATATATATATATATATATATATATATATATATATATATATATATATATATATATATATATATATATATATGTCGTACCTAATAGCCAGAACGCACTTCTATGCCTACTATTCAAGGCCCAATTTGCCTAATAAGCCAAGTTTTCATGAATTAATTGTTTTTCGACTACCTAACCTACCTAACCTAACCTAACCAAACTTTTTCGGCTACCTAACCTAACCTAACCTATAAAGATAGGTTAGGTTAGGTTAGGTAGGGTTGGTTAGGTTCGGTCATATATCTACGTTATTTTTAACTCCAATAAAAAAAAATTGACCTCATACATAATGAAATGGGTAGCTTTATCATTTCATAAGAAAAAAATTAGAGAAAATATATTAATTCATGAAAACTTGGCTTATTAGGCAAATCGGGCCTTGAATAGTAGGCATAGAAGTGCGTTCTGGCTATTAGGTACGACATATATATATATATATATATATATATATATATATATATATATATATATATATATATATATATATATATATATATATATATATGTATATCACGAAAATAAACACGTGATTAAGAATGTGACAATGTCAGACCACGGAGGAAAATGAAACAGGAATTTCCTTAAGTACTTTCGTATATTAAATACATCTTCAGAAGGAACCTCCTGTTTCATTTTCCTCCGTGGTCTGACATTGTCATATATATATATATATATATATATATATATATATATATATATATATATATATATATATATATATATATGTCGTACCTAGTAGCCAGAACGCACTTCTTTGCCTACTATGCAAGGCCCTATTTGCCTAATAAGCCAAGTTTTCATGAATTAATTGCTTTTCGACTACCTAACCTACCTAACCTAACCTAACTTTTTCGGCTACCTAACCTAACCTAACTTATAAGGATTGGTTAGGTTAGGTTAGGTAGGGTTGGTTAGGTTCGGTCATATATCTACGTTAATTTTGACTCCAATAAAAAAAAATTTACCTCATACATAATGAAATGGGTAGCTTTATCATTTCATAAGAAAAAAAATAGAGAAAATATAATAATTCAGGAAAACTTGGCTTATTAGGCAAATCGGGCCTTGCATAGTAGGCCAAAAAGTGCGTTCTGGCTACTAGGTACGACATATATATATATATATTATATCAAATGTACTTAAAACTATTAAATATTTACGACCAAAAAATCACTCTCCTTCAAGCACCTCTGTATTGAAGGGTTAAATTAATTATGACATTTACCTTGTTAACAGCGAGCTGAAGCAATATTCTTAGAAAATATTTCTTTCATTTCAAATGAGTCTCATTTCAAATAATGAAAAATACTTACTTCAATATTTGTACTTTTCATAAAATGTAATTTAAAACAGCCATTATTATCTGTGATGAATGTAATTCCAGTTGTAAGACTTAAAATATTGGGAATGTTTAACATCAGTATTCACCCCATCCTCAGGCTAGCTCGTCCAGGTGACGGCCGACCGCAAAGACAGTTCATAAATTTGAACATTCTGCGTAATGCACAATGACGTGATTCATCTATATGAAAATACTGAATCAGTGTAATGGGATGAAACTGGCACAACCAGAATCCCCTGATCGAACGGTATCAGTGGCGAGTCGAGAGTAGGGCTTTTCATTCGTAAACAGGAGTCGAGGCTGGATTTAACTAGCATTTGGCCAAGAAACTATGAGGACGGGCTGGCCGACTTATCGAAACCTTAATAACTCGCTCCAAATCTTAAAACCAGCTTGAGTGAACCTCCATAACACACTGTTTTTAAGATTGACTTGTACACGTACACCTTTAGAAAACATTTAAGGTTTTCTGGCAAAAATTACTTATATTCTTAAGTTCAAAGCATAACATTCTTTGTTCTATAAAGTCATAAGTCTGGCGTTTTAAAACACTATGGCTCTTGCCATCTCAAAACGAATAATTCAGTTTTGTGTTATCCATTACACTTGAGTTTGCTTTTTCAAGAGATTACATTCCTTGCCTTCACAGATTACCTCAATCTCCGTAAATACTCTTAAGAAGAAAATAAGTAAACTTACAAGTTAATTACTTACATTTAAACAGTTTCATTTAATTTCAATATAAACAACCTGTTATAATGCTTGTTCAAAACTTCATGTAATTACACGTAAGCATCATGAATATACAATTATCCAACTTTATTTTCTACTACTGTATTATCTGGTAATATTTTGTACTGGTGCACTGCATTATCTGGTAATGTTTTGTACTGGTGCACTGCATTATCTGGTAATGTTTTGTACTGGTGCACTGTATTATCTGGTAACATTTTGTACTGGTGCACTGTATTATCTGGTAACATTTTGTACTGGTGCACTGTATTATCTGGTAACATTTTGTACTGGTGCACTTTATTATCTGGTAACATTTTGTACTGGTGCACTGTATTATCTGGTAACATTTTGTACTGGTGCACTGTATTATCTGGTAACATTTTGTACTGGTGCACTGTATTATCTGGTAACATTTTGTACTGGTGCACTGTATTATCTGGTAACATTTTGTACTGGTGCACTGTATTATCTGGTAACATTTTGTACTGGTGCACTGTATTATCTGGTAACATTTTGTACTGGTGCACTGTATCGCTGAAAATAGTTTGTACGAGTGAGCTGCATTTCTGGAAATATTTTGTACCAGCACACTGCATTATCTAGTAATATTTGATTTGGGATAAACTTATCGCCACCAAGATGCGTTAAAAACTATTCTGCCATGGACAAAATTGGTTTTGCACCTCACAATTAATTACTAATATTCATGCAATAACAACCTTGGTTTATTGTCATTATTGCTGTTTTATTGCATTATTCACTTAAATCTATATCTAACGTACTTATTTGTCACATTTTATGACAGGATGCATTTTGAACACATTTTAAAGTTAGTAAGCATAGGAGCTTATGCAGCTACTGGCTCCTCCATTATGGCATTCTTCATTGCAGAATATTTGAGGGAATCAGTCTTTGCTCTGGCCTCTGGTGGACTCTCCTCGGATATGGAGCCTAAGCCACTGGAAGCTTCAGATATAGTTCTATCTCTGACCCCTTCACCGGCAAGGAGATTAGCATATTCTTCTTCAGACTTGCTCTCCTTAATATATCTTCGTGGAAGAGATTTGGCTGTGGCTTTCATGGTGTCATAATTTATGTATTCAGGTTGGTCATGGAGCTGAGCCTCCTGGAGTCTTTTCATTTCTTTGGCAGCCTCTTTAGTAAGGTAATTATTTTCATCAGTTTTAATAAAGCTGTTCATGGTCATGTAACTAGGGTTTGTTTGCATGTATGCGGTGGGACTGTACATGCCACTGTCGTGCTTTTCCATTTCTGATGCTCTACGAACCAGTTTATGGCGAAGAGAAACGGGATCATGTTTAATTGGAAATCTCTCAAGTTTGGGAACATCTCCAATGTTAATCAACGCTGGGGAATTTTCACTGCTTCCACTCATTGATCTTCCACTCATTGGTGTTGATCCAGGATCCATTTTCAGGTAGAGATCAATATCAACTCCATCAGTTTCTTCATCATAATTTTCAGAGTATGTCTCGTTATCTCGATTTGACATGGATGTCACAGTTTCTTGGTCAAAGTTAAATACATTTTGATTGTTTCTGGTTGGGGAGGACATTGAGAGATAAGTTCCAGCTGAGCCTGTATTAGTCATTCCAACCTCCTGTTGAAGTAAATCTATTTGCAAAGGAGTTAGACGTGGAGTGTGAACACGCTGTCCATTGTGGGTCTCACCATCTATCAAAACGTCTTGAAATGGACTTGGACTGAATGGCATCTCATATCCTTCATCATCAATATTTGGACTTACATCACGCACTTTTGAGGAATAATCAGGACTCTGCAGCATGCTCAGGAAACTGCTCTCTGTGTTCTCTGCTTGGTAAGGTTTGTTCAGCTCCAGGTAATACTGTAAGACATTAGCGAGTGTTAGTGTAGTATTGACTTTTTGATATTTCAATTCTAATTTTATAAAAAGTATCAAGTCACAAATATATATATTATAATGATAATTGTATTTACACATACACTGATGTCATAATATATATATATATGTCGTACCTAGTAGCCAGAACGCACTTCTCAGCCTACTATGCAAGGCCCAATTTGCCTACTAAGCCAAGTTTTCATGAATTAATGTTTTTTCGACTACCTAACCTACCTAACCTAACCTAACTTTTTCGGCTACCTAACCTAACCTAACCTATAAAGATTGGTTAGGTTAGGTTAGGTAGGGTTGGTTAGGTTCAGTCATATATCTACGTTAATTTTAACTCCAATAAAAATAAATTGACCTCATACATAATGAAATGGGTAGCTTTATCATTTCATAAGAAAAAAATTAGAGAAAATATATTAATTCAGGAAAACTTGGCTTATTAGGCAAATCGGGCCTTGCATAGTAAGCTGAGAAGTGCGTTCTGGCTACTAGGTACGACATATTATATATATATATATATATATATATATATATATATATATATATATATATATATATATATATATATATATATATATATATATATATATATATATATGCAAACAAGCCTGAATGGTCCCCAGGACTATATGCAACTGAAAACTCACACCCTAGAAGTGCCTCGAACCCATACTGCCAGGAGCACTCTGCTAGTGTACAGGATCCCTTAACCGCTCGACCAACACGACCAGAGACAAAAGAGGATGGAAGCCGAGGTTATATTATGAGACGAGGCTTCTCTTGATGATGCTATTGACCTCGTTGTGTGTTGCATGCCAGACCTTTGTGCTTCCGCAATGCAACCAATGCAGGTTCATATTGGTCTGCTTCCACCCTGTTGCATATACATTTGTATTCATTGTGAATTGGGGCACCAAGGGGGAGGGCCATTGCTACACGTAGGGATTCTGACGCGTGCCCATTGACGACATGGGTACTGCCAGGAGGAAGTCTCCTGCATGGGGGGCTTGCACTGCTCTGAGGCGGGCTTTCTCCTTGTCTGATGTTGCGGCGCTGAGCATGGCATCAGCTACTTTTTCCACTAATGGGTATATATATATAACTTTAGAACACTTTCCCACCAGGAGACTCGAACCCTAGCCAGCACAGAAGCCTTCCAGCAACTGGCATAACAGGTACGCCTTAACCCTCTCCACCACCCGCTCAGACCCTTAAAAGAGATGGTAATTTCGGAGTATTTAAATACCCCAAAGATCAACACCTCCCAAGAGCACCAGAGCAAGTGAGGGGTCATTTAGACGTTAATTTCATCAAGTCCCTGTTAATATGGGAAGACACAGTGTCTCTGCTTAAGGCACAACTCTCCTAAACACGAGAGTTAAGTATACAACTTTAGAACACTTTCCCACCAGGAGACTCGAACCCTAGCCAGCACAGAAGCCTTCCAGCAACTGGCATAACAGGTACGCCTTAACCCTCTCCACCACCCGCTCAGACCCTTAAGAGATGGTAATTTCGGAGTATTTAAATACCCCAAAGATCAACACCTCCCAAGAGCACCAGAGCAAGTGAGGGGTCATTTAGACGTTAATTTCATCAAGTCCCTGTTAATATGGGAAGACACAGTGTCTCTGCTTAAGGCACAACTCTCCTAAACACAAGAGTTAAGTATACAACTTTAGAACACTTTCCCACCAGGAGACTCGAACCCTAGCCAGCACAGAAGCCTTCCAGCAACTGGCATAACAGGTACGCCTTAACCCTCTCCACCACCCGCTCAGACCCTTAAAAGAGATGGTAATTTCGGAGTATTTAAATACCCCAAAGATCAACACCTCCCAAGAGCACCAGAGCAAGTGAGGGGTCATTTAGACGTTAATTTCATCAAGTCCCTGTTAATATGGGAAGACACAGTGTCTCTGCTTAAGGCACAACTCTCCTAAACACGGGAAAGTGTTCTAAAGTTGTATACTTAACTCTCGTGTTTAGGAGAGTTGTGCCACATATATATATATATACAACAATGATCACAAAAACACTGATCCAAATATGCAGAATAACCACATGTGAAAAATAGAGAATGCTTAACGCGTTTTCGGCTAATTCGCCTTCATCAGAGCAAAGTATAATGAAGATAAGAAAACATTGCTGATCAGACCTTTATATCAGCCTGGGCAGATCACCTGACCACCAAGAATAAGTGAAGGAAAGGAATTGTAAGAAAAGGACAGAGTTGGACTCTCTGCGGGAGGAGGTGCGTCAGCTTAAAAAACAACGAGAAGTAACGAAGGAGGAGACCAGCAGTAAAGGGACCTCGTCTTGGAGAGTTGCGAAAGACAGGGGCCTTAAGAAGACTTTGATAAAGCCGCCTTCAAACGCCATAGCAACTTCAAATTCATTTGACGTTTTGGAGGACGAGTGCTGTGGAGAGACTGTGGATCGCGCAAAAGGGAAAGCAACGAAGAGAAAGGAAGCGCAGGCCCCTCAGAAAGTAAAGGAAGTACCTAAGCAAACATTAGTTGTGGGAGATTCCCAGATAAGGTATTTGGATAGAACGTTTTGTGCTAGAGATAGGGGGAACAGGTTAAGGGTTTGCTATCCCGGAGCTGGCATTGGTGATATTATAAACAACATGAATGATATTATGGCTGGTAATGGGAACAATCCCATTATTTGCATTAGCGTGGGAGGAAATGATGTTGGTCGAGTCAGGAGTGAGGAACTGATTCAGAGGTATAAAACAGCCATAGAGTTAGTTAGGAGCAAGGGAGGAATCCCGATCATATGTGGCATTCTTCCAAGAAAGGGAGTGGGAAATGAATGGATATCGAGGGCACTTGGTGTCAATTGCCGGCTGGAAAGATATTGCAAATCAAATGCAATATCTTTCATAGACAACTGGGAACACTTCTATGGAAGAAATGAAATGTATGCTCGTGATGGGGTGCATCTATCGAGAGCTGGGGTTGTTGCTGTTGCGAACTCGCTAGAAGAAGTGGTTAGAGGTGTTTGTTTGGGTTTAAACTGTTAGTAGATAGAGGTATGGGAATTGATTTGGAGGAAGGAGGTAATAAAAGTATGTGTTTGTGGGAGAAAGGAATTGGCAAAACGATCAGGGAAAGAGAAGGTCCGCAAAATAACAATTCACTTAGGGTATATTACACTAACAGTAGAAGTCTAAGAAATAAAATTAACGAATTAAATGCTCTTGTCTGCACAGAAAAAATAGATATTATTGCACTTACCGAAACGTGGATGAATGTAGAAAATAGAGAACTATTAGCTGAATATCAAATATATGGATTTAAACTATTTCACACAGATAGATATATTAGACGAGGAGGTGGAGTAGCCATATATGTTAGGGACAATTTGAAATGTAGTCTCAAAGAGGGAATCAAAACAGAGCCACACACAGAAACTATTTGGATTGAATTAAACGAAAAAGCTAATAATATTATAATAGGAGTAATATATAGGCCACCAAATTTAGACAGAATGGAAGCAAAGCATCTATGGGATGAAATATCTAGAGCATCTAGATCTAACAGTATTTATGTCATGGGTGACTTTAATTTTAGCGGAATAAACTGGTTGAACAAAACAGGGAATAGTGAAGCAGAAGATTTTCTAGAATTAATTGACGATTGCTTTCTTACGCAACACATTAAGGAACCAACACGGGAAAATAATATTTTAGATTTAGTGTTAACTAACAGGGAAACGCAAATTAATGACATCGAAATAGGGAGTGAGCTAGGGAGCAGTGATCACAAAGAAATCAGATTTAGCATAGAATGGAATAGACCAGTAGGAGAAAATTCTGTTAAAGTGCCAGATTTTCGAAAAGCTGATTTTAATAGCCTAAGAAATTTTTTGGGTCAAATTGATTGGAAAGGCTTGGGTATGGGGTGTGGGCCGGTCTTGGAGCGAGACATGAACCCAGCGATAGGTGACTTAAATGGGGATTTCGATGTGGATTCAATATATAACTTATTTAAGAATATTCTAAACAAAGCACAGGAACGTAGTATACCATACAAATTGAATAGATCGTATACTAATGACCCAAAGTGGATAACAAAGAATTTGAAGAACCTTATAGGTAAAAAGAGAGCTTGGTACAAAAGGATTAAAAATGGGGAGGTCACTTTAGAACAGGAATTCGTACAACTGGTTAGAAATGTTAAAAAAGAGATAAGGAAAGCAAAAAGAAACTATGAAGTTCGCATAGCAGGGCAAGCAAAGACAAATCCTAAAGGGTTTTTTCAGTTATATCGTACTAAGACTAGGGAAAGGATAGGTCCATTAAAAACTGAGACAGGTCAAATAACAGATAGTGATGAAGAGATGAGTAGTATTTTTAATAAATATTTTGTATCTGTATTTACTAAAGAGGAACTTAACAATATGCCTTCAGCCGAACAAGTCTATGTGGGTGGGGACGAGGACAGGTTGACGAGTTTAGCAGTTACCAGGGAGGATGTTCTTAAACAAATAGTAAAACTCAAACCAAACAAATCCCCAGGGCCGGATGAAGTGTTTGCTAGGGTGCTTAAAGAATGCAAAGAGGAGCTTTGTGACCCACTGTCAACCATATTTAATAAATCAATAGAGTCAGGCAGAGTGCCAGAGTTTTGGAAAGTTGCTAATGTGATACCAGTTTTTAAGAAAGGAGATAGATCACTTGCGTCTAACTATCGACCAATTAGCCTAACGTCTATTGTGGGAAAGTTACTCGAATCTATAATAGCAAATAAAATTCGTCTTCATCTTGAAAAACATAAATTAATAATTGAGTCGCAACATGGTTTTATAAATGGCCGTTCATGTTTAACAAATTTGTTATCTTTTTATTCTAGCATTGTTGAGGCAGTTGATAGTGGTAAGGATTGCGATGTTGTATACCTTGACTTTAGCAAAGCTTTTGATACAGTGCCACATGAAAGACTGATTAAAAAAATAGAGTC